TAAGTTTATTATTATTATTATTATTACTTATTTATTTATTTAAATATATATTTTATTTTATTTTTTAATTTTTAATTTCCGTTACAAAAAACGTTCGATTTTATTTTCTTCGATTTTACTTTGCCAAAAAAAAAAAAATTTAGAAACCCCCCCCCCCGATACCCCCGATATGCAACCCCCCCTAAAATTAGTTTTTTAATTTAACAAATAATTTACGTACGATAAATTAATTAATAATTAATTACGTAATATTTAAAAAAAAATCATTATTATTATTATTATTATCATAACTTTTACGCGGTTTCGCACGTTTTTAACGTTTTTAACGTATTTTTTTTTTTTTAAATTTGATAATTATTATAAAAAAATTATTTTTTCATATTATAAACCAATAGTCTAAACGGTCAACTTTCGTTACTAATTAATTATTTAATTATTATTATTAAAACTTTTTATTACCCGTAGAAATTATTATTTATTACTTAAATTAATAATTTGTTTAAAAAAAAAAAAAAAACGTTTTATGTTAAATAAATAAATTAATTAAGGGAAATTTGGGTTGTAAATCTTCTGCTCATACCTTCCACAAACATAAAAAAATAATGTTAATAATAATAATAATTATTATTAGGGTGATATTTAATAACGAAGGGGGTAGGAGGAGAGGGGGAGAGAAATAAAGCATTTATAAAATTTAATTTCATCATAATAATAATAGCTTGCAAAAAAAAAATACAAAAAATAATTTCGACAGGGTAAAAAAAATATAAAACCGGGGTCACGTGATTGCTGAACAAAACCGCGGTCACGTGATTGCTGAACAAATAAAATTAAATATGAATGAATAAAAAAAAAAACCCTCCCCCCCTCGTTTGATAAAGAATATATCTTTATTTATTATGGCGACCGAACAAAAACTGCGTTTTATGCATTTCTCTTGTTGTTGTGAGGGGGGGGCAGGGGGGCAGGGGAAAAAATAATCTCGCGTCAAAATAAATAAAATTATTATTATTATTATTATTTTAATTAAATTATAACATGTTAATTACAATTAATATTTATAAAAAAAAAAAAAAAAATCATATTAATTGGATATCGAAGCCAGGGTTCAAGTGCAAGGGTGACAAGTCAAAGTCAAGGACCATTCCTATCATTCCCTTCCCTCCCCTCCCGTCCCGTTCCCCCTTATCACGGCTTCTAACATAGATCATAAATAAAATTTTTTTTTTTTTTTCGAGGTGACCTCTAATTAATTTTGCGCTTTGTCAATCAAATTATTTGAAACCTTTGCCATTTGATTACATTGATAAAAGGAAAAAACGTTTTTTTTTTTTTTTTTTTTTTAACTTATTTATGGAAACTCGGGTTAATAATAATAATAATAATAATAATAATAATAATAATAATAATGAAAAATTATATAAAAGTTATTAAATATTAAAAAAACACTTACAAATACGGGAAAAAAAAACTCATTTTAATTTTTTTTTCTTTTTTTCTTTTTCTTTTGCAGCACTGCCAGAATGTAAACTCAAATGCAAAGGACGTAAGTTATCTGAAATAATAATAATAAGTTTTATAGTTTATAGTATTTCTTTTTCTTTTTTTTTTTTTTTTTTCTTTCCGGAAAAAATAATTTAGTATTAGTTATGTCAATGAACAAATAAAAATCAAAAAGAAGGGAGTCATCCAATTATCCAATAAAAAAAAAATTTAGCAATTGTTGTTGCTGCTGGTGTTTGGTGTGTGTGTGTTTGTATCAATTGACATGCAATAAAGAGAGAGAGAAAACTATAAAATAGACCTATTAATCAATTGTCTCCAATCCCTGAATACCTGAAATTAAATAAATTTATTTATTATTTATGTAATTTACGACGCACACACACACACACACACTCAACTTTTTTTTTTGAACTGTAAAAAAAACAAACTTTGAATGATTATTACTATTTAATTTGTTACTTGTATAATTACAGAAAGTGGAAACTTTTTAAAACTTGAAGAAGGTGTCACTTATAATTATAATTTAGAAGGAAATACAGAAACTTACGTTCCAAAATCTAAAGGACCATTCGGTGAATCTGTTAAACTTAACTTTAAAGCTAAAGTTGAAGTTTCTTCACTTCCCGAATGTAAAACTGTTGTTCAACTCAGAAATGTGCAAGTCACTGGACCTGATGGAAAGGTGGGGGGAGGGGGGAAAAAGATTTTTATTATTATGTTTTCTTCTTTGAAAATTTCATATTGATTTTTTTATATATATATTTTTACCTCAATAGCCTTATCAAAGCCTTCCAAAATTAGAACAACATCCGTTGGTAGTGAGTCTTCACGGTGGGAAACTTGATTCTGAAGTTTGTGCCGCTCACGACGACGAATATGCTTCTTTGAACGTTAAAAGAGCTGTTGCTTCATTGCTTCAAGTTGGCGGTTCCGAAAGAGGAGGAAGCAATGTCGAAGTAAATATACATAATACATAAATTTCGTTGTTCTAGAAAATTATAATGTTTATTAAACAAATTATTATTAATTAATTTTAGACGGATGTTTTCGGTGTTTGTCCAACTTACTCAAAAGTGACTAAAGATGGAGAAGTGACGGTGGTTGCAAAACACAGAGATTTGGAAAAATGTCAATTCAGAGAAAAATTGAGACAATCATTTTTTGCCGTTTCTCACGGACACGAATCCGAATTACAGTCGTCACCATTGATGGACTCACAATATGAATCCGAACAAAGATTTAAAAATGGAGTTTTAGAAAGTGCTACCGTGAAAGAAGAATATTTGTTCAGGCCATTTTCTAACCGAGATAGCGGTGCCAAAACTAAAGTACTTACAAAACTAGTCTTCGAATCAAAAACTCCAGCTGCTCCACCAGGTACGCTCTCGTTTTACTTTTAAAAAAAAATATATTTTAACAAAAAATTTCTATTTAAAATGTAATGTAAAAATTTTCAGCTGTTTCCAATAACGAACCCAGACAGGTATTTTTTGAAAATCCTCATGAAACCGTAACGTGCACTGTACAAACTTTGATGACAGCTTTACATAAAGTAGCCGATAGTGAACATGCCGATCCATCAGTTTCTGCTCACGTCGGTAAAGACTTTGGTGACCTCGTGCGTTTAATGCGAAGAGCTTCAAAAGCAGATTTGCTTTCGGTTTACGGAAATTGTAAAGCCGGTGCCGGATTCAAAGACCGACAAGTAGCCAAGTACGTTTCTAAAAAAAAATAACAATTTAAAGTAATTTAAACAAAAAATTTTGCTAAAAATAATTTTCCCACCACGCAGGAAAGTCTTTACCGATGCATTATTTGCTGCTGGTAGTGCAGACTCGGTTGCGGCTGCTGTTGAATTGTTACAAAGTAACGAAGTCACTGGAAAATTTGCTAAATATTGGTATCTCAGTTTTGCTTTCGTTCGTCACGTTTCCGGTTCTACATTAACTTCAGTATTGGTAAATGAATTTTTTTTTTTATTTAAAAATCATGTTATTTTCTGAAAAAAATAAAATTAATAAGTTTTTTTGCTTTTTACAGACCCTTTTAGACAACCCAAAAGCACCATTTGAAGCATACCTTGGTGTTGGAGCATTAGCCGGTCACTACTGCCGTGAACACAATTGCGACGGTGTTCCTCAATTTGATCAATTATTGGCTAAATTCACCGAAGTACTCGGAACGAATGCAAAAGGTTCAAGAGAAAAGGAAAACCACGTAAGCCTCGTTGAATTTATTTAATTTTTGGTTTTTTTTTTCTTTCAATAGAGTCGTCCTGTAAAAAAAAAAATTATTATTAATTATTACAGGTAATAGCTGCTCTTAAAGGTCTTAGAAATGTCAAACATCTTAATGAAGAAACTGCCAATAAGGTGACTCAATTATTGAAAGATGGCCACGCTTCAACTCGTGTTAGGGTTGCTGCATTGGAAACTGCACAAACTGATGCTTGCCGTGGAAAGGTGATAAGAGCTATAAAGAAAAATATATTTCATATCATATTTAAATTTCAAATTTTCTGTAATGAAATAATTATTATTATTATTATTTTAGCTTCTCAAAGGAGCATCTGAAGTTTTTTACAATCGCGAAGAAGATTCCGAAGTGAGACTTAAAGCATTTTTAGTCATGGTAGAATGTCCCAATCCAAAACTTGCCAACAAATTAAGTGAATTTTTGGAAACGGAACCTGTCAACCAAGTTGGATCTTTTGTCACCTCTTACTTGCGAAACCTTAGAAGTTCTTCAAACCCAGACAAAGAACATCTCAGAGACGTTCTTTACAATGTCAAACCCAGAAAGAAGTTTCCATTCGACGTCAGAAAATTTTCCCGAAACCATGAATTCAGTTACAATTTCGATGCGTTGAGCACTTCGGCTTCCGTTGAATCAAACGTACTATTTTCGCAAAAAAGTTATTTGCCAAGATCCGTTAATTTGAATTTGACCACAGAAGTATTCGGACACGCTTTCAACTTATTCGAATTGAACGTCAGAGGTGAAAATCTTGAAAGAGCATATGAAAAATATTTTGGTCCTAAAGGATACTTCAGTACCCACAAACCAATGGAAGTTGTTCGCGATGCCACTCACGTGTACAAGGAAGTAAGAGATCGAGTTAAGGACAAGTACAGCAACTTTGTCAGTAGAAGCAGAAGAAGTGTATCCAGAGCCGATACAGACAATTTCGCATCCAAAGTTAAATTGTACAATTCGAAATTGGATTACAATGTTGACCTTGATTTATCATTGAGAGTTTTGGGTAACGAACTTTCTTGGGTAAACGTTGAAGATGTCGAAACTCCCTTTACTCCGAATGAAGTCGTGGACAAACTTTCTCATTTTGTTGAAAGCAATTTAGGAAAAGTCAAAGACTTAAATAAGGACTACAAAAATCATTTCCACTTCTTGGACACTCAATTAACATATCCAACGAGTATGGGATTGCCAATTCGTTTGAACGCTGTCGGATCCGGAGCATTGTACCTTAAATTTAACGTTAACTGCGATGTTGCCTCTTTTATGAAAGATCCTAAAAATGGTCAAGCAAAATTTGAATTAGTTCCCAGCGCTTCTGTCGACGTCACTGGAGAATTTTCAGTTGATGGATACGCCGTTGAAGCGGGAGTTAAAGTTTCCGGAAACCTTCACTCATCCACGGGATCTGAAGTTTCGTTGAAAATGCTCGACGGACATGGCTTCGACTTAAACGTTGGATTACCAGTTAAAAAATCAGATCTCTTAACCGTAAACACTGACGTTTTCTCTTTTGTTAGAGAACAAGGTCAAGTAGGTACCGAACATGCTTTAGAATTCAACGTTCCTAGAAAGGATTACCACGGATGTTTTGATCAACTTCAATCCCTCGTCGGTCTTACTTTCTGCGGTGACGTAGGTTTCCCAAGCGATCAAAAAACGCTTGTTTCTGGAGCAGCAAACTACCCGCTTAACGGTCATAGCAAAGTTTCACTTCGTATCGAAAAAGAAGATGAAACTTTAACTTCTTACCATGCTAGATTTTTCTTTGATCTCGCTAATCCCCAGAACAGAAGAGTCGAATTCAAACTTGATACTCCAGGAACTAAAGTCCCGAGGGAAATCAGTCTGTTGGCTGCTCTTACAACTCAACCGGAAAAAGCAGTTGATTTCCGTTTTGTTTCTCCATTGCATAGAGTTTCTGCCAAAGGAGCATTGACAAATAACGATCACGAATACACCATATCTGGTTTTGCTCGTTTAGACGATGCTCATGAGTACAAAGCCAGAGTTGGTTTCCTTAAAAACGGTCAAGTCTTCAAACCAGTTTTGGAATACACTCCTGTAGGTGGAGTTCCAACCGATGTTAAAGTAGAAGGAGAAGTTTTGGTTGAAAAAGGTGGTGACAGCCATAGAAGATTCACGTTCCGAGGATTAAGAATTTTGCATCCGTCAAGAACTTACACTGTTGATGGAACGGTCGAAATGGAAAAAACTTTCTGCAAAGCAGATTTGAACGTTGGTTATAACGAACATACCGTACATGTTAAATCTGATATATTGGTTGATAGAAGCTTGAAGCATGTAAAAGTTGACGGTGCCCTTTCGACTACACAATATCCCGAATTTAATTTTGCACTAAACTACGAATATAAGAAAGAAGACCATCAAGTGAGTCCTTTTGTCTTTACAAAATAACTACATAAAAAATTTCAAATAAAAAATTAAAAAAAATAATTTTCTTTTCAGGTTGAAAACAATCTTGTTGTTTCCCACGGCAGAGATTTAGCATCAACTCAAAACAAATTGACGCTCTATCAATTAGTGAGATATCATTACAAATCCCTTCAAGAATATGACGTATCTACCAAAAACTTACTTTCTTATCCAGTTTTTGGAGTTGAAGTCAGACTCGACGGTGGAATGACAAGAAAACATTTCAACTACGACGCCGAAGTCAAATATGGAAAATACAGAGCACATTCGAAATTGGATGCCAAAACAGCTTTGAAAGAATTGGGAGACTACGATGTAGACTTTGTCGTAAGTTTTTTCTTTTTTTTTTAAACCAAAACTTTTATCAAAAAAAATTAAATTTTAAACGTATTTCTTTTCTTCCTAATTTCTCAGCTTGCTGCTTTTGATAAAGAGCTTTGCTTATCGGCCAAAAGAGAAGTTGTCGATCCCTACAAGTCGAGATTTACACAAAAATTAGATTTGAAACCAGGAAAATCATACGATTTGGCAGCTGAAGTTGTTCATCACTTCGGAGGAAGCGAAATGAAATTTTCTGTTGTGGCCACGAGTACCAACTACCCCAATTACGTGTAAGCAACACTTCAATTATCAAATCACGCACGTGGCTTTAAAATAATAATTATTAAATTAAATGTAAAAATTTTCTTCTTACCACTAGTTTGGACGCTGGATTTGTAACCACTCCCGCATTGTTTGACGGTCATTGTAAAGTAAACGATGGTACAAAAGACTGCGTGGATGGTTTCTTGAAATTTTCAAAAGTTCCTCCGCGTCAAGGAAACTTTAAATTGTTTATCGACAACGTTCTTGATTCCCAAGGAGAATGTAATTTACATGAAAAAGTAACTGGTAGTTTTTCAGCACATTTACTTAACGTCAACACCGTTTTCAAGGGTATGTCATGAATCCTTCACCCTGAAACAAATCGTAAATTAAATTGTAAGAAATTTATACTCATAAAATACGAATTTTAGGATCGTTTGATTTGGCCAAAACGGAAAATAAATATGCCGGCCAAGTTCAAGCCTCATCTGAAAGAAACGGACAACCCAATTGGCAATTGTTTGTTAACACCGACACTGACGTACAAAGTACTTCGGTAAACTCGAGGTAAAAAATTTAAAACTCAAATTTTTAATTATTAATTTGAAATTTGAATTATCTATACGATTTATTAAACAGGAACAAAGTCAAACTTTCGGAAAAAGAATTAGAACTTAACTTCCACGGAGATTACAAAGGTAAAGATTTGGACACGAGTTTCGCGGGTGGTTACGAATTGACACTTCCAAGTGGAAAATTTTTGATGGGTAACACGAAATTAGCCTACAACGTCCTACACAAAACAATGTAAGTCATTTATGTTCGAGTAAAAAAAAAAAAAAAAAAAAATGTTACTTTACCAAATATTATGTTGCGAAAAAAAAAAAATCAATTTCTTATTGTTGCAGGAATGGAGATTTGTTTGTCGAAGTCGGTTATTCCGAACAAAGAGGAGGACATTTGACGAAATATTTCTTGGATTCTTATGCTAAAAACTTGAATTTGAAAAAATATTCCGTCGATTCCAAATTTGAAGTTGGTCGAGAATGTCCAAAAGGAAATGTTAAATTTTCCAATTTGTTCCGTTGCATGCCCCACGAAGAAACCTACATTATGGACGAAGAAGTAAAATATTTAAAAAATTAATTTTTAACTTATTAAAAAAAAAAAATTTTAATACTTTTTTTTTGTAAATTCCAGACAACCTTCACTGGAAGTTTAGTGAAAACTCCCTTTGAATATAAAGGACACGCGGTTTTTTCAAGGGCAGAAGCTAATTTTGATGTTTCTAGTAATTTTGGTGATTATAACTTTAAGAGCAGAGGAAAATTATTAACCGGCGTCGAAGATAAAGTCAGACATTTGGAATGTCAAACTGAATTGAGCACTCCTCACGAATCAGCGAGAAGAGTACAAATGGATTCCGTTTTTCATTTCGGCGTCGGTGATGAAACCAAACCTTTTGTGGTGAGAAACAAAAATTTATTATTTACTAAAATACATTTAAATTTGACAAAATACCTGAAATTTTTGTAAATTTGTTATAGGTACAACTTAAACAAGAATTCACGTGTAATGAAAAAATGTTTAAAGTTAACGGTGAAGCTGAATTACACAAGAAACATGGTAATTTGAAAGGTTCACTCATGCTTCCTGGAGAACCTAGACCATCAACACTTGATGTTAATTACAAACGAGAATTGGTCAACGGTAATTATAATATGTAATAATAATAATGATGATAAAAATCCATAACAAAGTGAAAAATTAAATTTTTTTTTAAATTTTAGATCTTAGAAAAACCGAAGTTTTTGTCAACGCCAATTACGATAATGACAAACACGTTAACGTAAACAGCGTTTTCGAATATAAAACTGGAGAATATATGCTCAACGGTCACGTGACCGGACAAACAAGCCTTCAAAAATTAAGCTCTTTTGATTTGCAGGTAAACACACATCATTTTTTCACATCAATGAAATAATAATAATCGTGTACAATTAATTATTATTATTATTATTAATTTTTGTAAAATTAAAGTTCGCTCACAAAAAACTATCGAGCACGGCTAGAAACACCGATTTCGGTTTAACCGTCAATGGAGAAAAAGTCGAAGGATTCTGTAAAATCGATCTTGCACCTAAACAACGTTTGGTAGATTTGACCGTCAACAGCGCAGGTGGAAAATCCCGTGTTTTCTACAAAGTAAACCATAAAAGCGATCGTCAAGTAACGAGTATGTTTAATCGTACCTGATTTATTAAATTCAAATTAATATCGTTCTATTATTGATTATCGAATTTTTATGCGAATTAGACGAAGCGCAATTCGTTTGGACATTAAATGGCGGAGGTCAATTAGATTTATCGTCAAACGTTGATATTGAATCCCACGACAATTTCCACGTTCTCATCAAAGTCAATTCTGAAAAGCTCAAAATCAACAAATTGAAACTCGAAGTTGGAAACAGAGCAACAAAGAGCGGAACCGGTAAAAAAATTAATTTCGCAGCTCAAACTGCTGACAAAAAAGGATTCGCCGGAAGGTAAGATTAAATTAATTTAAAATTATCAACGAAAGAAAATCGTAATAAATAAAATTATTATTTTTAGTGTAACTTACGCCATGAAAGAATTACCACACGGTTTCACACTTGAAGGAAAAGGTCAAATTGAATTCCAAGCCGCAAAACATCCTCTTACGTACAAAGCCGAATACAAAACATTAACTCGAGCCAACGATGGTGAAACTGGTACACTTTTCACGCTCAACTCTGATTTCGAAAAAGGAAGTTTTGTTCTTGAACAAAAACTTTCCGACAAAGAACTTTTCTACGTTAGTAAATTTTGCCGTGATAATGTTTGTGCCGTTTCTGAAATGAAAAATAAATTACAACTTTCAGGTATGAAATTATTTAAAATTTTTTTTTTTTTTTGCATGTGAAAAATTCATCAATAAAACTCTACAATCTTTTTCTTCTTTTCTTTAGACTTTAGTGAAATGAACCATGAAGCATTCCTCTTGTATCAAAATGATTTCCTTGAAAATCATTACACGTTTAAAGCTTTGAGTAAAACACACAGAAAAGGTTTCACCGTTAATCACGAAACTGGTTTGAATGTAAATGGAAAATCTTACAATCTTAAATACTACGTCAAACAAGAAGATGCAGGTAAAACAAAATTTACCCAAAATACAAAACCTTAACCTACGAACATTTTTTAAAAAAAAAATAATTAAAATTTCATTTCTAGGTTTGGTCCTCGATTTGCCAAGTCGTGAAGTTGCAGCTGTGGCTTCATACGATTTCCCACTTCATCTTTCAACTGGTAAACCAAATACTGATTTCAAAAACGTTCAGGTACGATTCGATGGTTCATTTTATTTGGATCGAAGAAACAAACCTAACGACAAAGGAAACTTATTCGTTTATGGTGATTTTGCTGCTACTAGTAAATCGCTCAGTTCTAAAGGAGAAGTTAAAATCACACATCCGGCATTGCACAAAGTAAGAAATGATGATTTTCCTTTTTGATTCTTAAATTTATTAAATTTCTCCATTACTAACTTCTTGTGTCCGACTGATTTTTGTTCAAAATTAGGATTTGGTACTCAGAGGAAAAGGAGCTGCTGCGGTGGATCAACGCCTCGTTGATGTATCTCTCGATGTTGATGTTTTCAATAGAAAGAATCAAAGAGTGACCTTAACTCTTACGGTCGATCACTTTAAAGCTGGCAACGGACACAACGTTACTGCAAGCACTGGATTAGTGAGCAAGGTACGTAATATTCAATCGCAAAAACAATGAAATAATACTTACAAGTAAAAATAATAATAAATTAAAATTTTCTCACAGGGAATGAACTTGGACGTTTCAACATCAAGTCATCTTTTTGCTGACGAACATGGACTCAGCGCTGGATCATTCTTGTACTACCACGATAGCAACAACGTGAGAAAAGAAGCCGGAGCAGTTTTCGAAGCTAATCCCAAACGTTTATACGCTATGGTAAACATATAAAATACATTCGATCCTTTTAAATTTTATAAAAAAAATAATTAACAAATAAAAAATTATTACCTAAAGGTAAGAGTTCCAGCTAAGGAATTACTTAGAGTTGATTCGGTTGTACAAGGTGAACCTCAACATCAAGTAGTTGATACCGAAATTAACATTGCCGAATTAAGGCACTACACTGTTAGAGTTGAAACAACAGGTTTGCATTCATTGCACGCTTCAATATGTCCAAAAGGTAAAAAAATTATTTTTTTTTCCAATTCGCAATGTAATTTCTTTTCCAATTCCTGCAAAAAATTTTTAAAATTATATTTTAGATAATCCCAACCATAAATTGTTTTTGACCGCTGGACTTAACCCGAAATTACTCGAATTTAAAGTCGAACATCTCGAAGGAGGAGCTACAGACAATTTATTAGCTGTTGTTTTGACATCGAGAAGCAACCAAGAAACTCAACCAAATTTTGAAATTAACAGCGAAAAAATCAAAGAAATAATGGTAATATTATTAAAATAAATTAAATATATCTCCACATTGCGATTTCGATTAAGTATTTTTTTGTAATTTTAGAAAAAATGTAAATCTACTGGCAAGGAAACAGTTGAACAATTGAAAAAATTGGTTGTTGACTTGTCCAAACAAACGGTTGAAGACTACAGTAACTTGCTCAAAGGTGTCAAAAAGGCACAACCCGATTTCAAACCTTTAGTACAATATTATCAAAATGAATTCGAATTGGCTCGTAAAGAATTAGCAGAAGATCCTTACTTTAAACATTGTTCCACTGTATTGTGAGTATCGCTGTATAACTTTTCCAACGAGTTTTACGTGTTTAAAAAACACTCAATAAACAACAACGAATTTTATTTTTTAGCCAAAATGTTTTTGGAGGAGTCATTGAATTTTTAGAAGAATACGTCAAAAAATTGGTTTCCTCATTTGAAAAACTCTCTCACGAAGTAGACGAAGTGCAAGTAAAATTAACTCAACTTTGCAAAGAAGTTTTGACAAGAGTCACGGAATCTTATGAAAAAATGGCCGAACCAGTTATGGGTGTATTCACACACTTATGCGATGGTGCTTGTGCAGTAGCTGAATACGGTTTAGACTTTTTGAAAGCTCACGAACCTGAAATTAAACATGTTTTAACCGGTGTCAGCGGCTACGTTCAAGGTACCACTATTAAATTTTATTAATTAAACATGAAATCAAAGGAATTTTTTCGATTAATTTTTTTTTTCTTACCGTAGAATTTACTCAATTTTTGGTCAATACCGTGGATCAAGTAAGACAAGAAGCTAGAGACTTTTTCAAAGTACTCGTCGATCAACTTAAAACTTTACCCATTTACACCACCTTCGAAGAAAAATACAAAGAACTTACCAATGTTGAATTACCACAAACTCTTAAAAACTTCTATTCCGAAATAACATTTGCCGTCGAAGACATGATGAAAACACCAGAACTTAAAGATTTCTTCGAAAACTTATTGGGTTATCTTTTCAAGGTGACGAATTTAATAAGACTGCGGTGAAATCTTTTTTTTTTTTTTCTCCATAATTTCATTTTCTTATTTTTAATTTCGATTATAGTTTCCAGTACCTTCCTTCTTGGTCAGATTGCCTAAAGTCGGACCATTCAAAGAATTTACATTTGTCCGTTATTTGAACTCTTTAACTGAATTACCATCGCTTTCCGACTTTTATTACACGTACAGACCATTAATGTATCCAGCTCGCAACGTACCACCATTTGAAGGTAATTAAAAACTGAAATTAATAAAATGTTTGTTATCAACAGTGTGATAAAATTACCTTTTTTTTTTTTTTAGCTCGTGCTTTGATCGCTGATTCTCACCATTTTTTTACTTTCGACCAAAAACACTTTGCATTTAAGGGCACGTGCTCTTACGTTTTGGCTCAAGATTTCTTAGATGGAAACTTTAGCCTTGTTGGTAACTTTGAAAATGGTAAAATCAAATCTGTGGTTATGAATGATGAACACGACACCGTTGAATTATTCTCTGACAATACCGTAAATACATTTTTATATAAATAATAATAATAATAGTAATTTTGCAGAACCTGTAAATAAAAAAAAATTATTTTTAAAATTATTTCGTAAGGTTTCTGTTAATGGCCAACATGGAGACTACCCAGTCGATCATAATAACTTCCACGGATGGGTCCGTTATGGAACATTCAATTTAAAACATAAATCTGGAGTTCATCTCACTAAATATCACAAACAAGATACTTTTGTTGTCAAAGTTTCTGGATTTTACTTCGGTCGAACCAGAGGATTGTTGGGAACCATTTCTAACGAACATTATGACGATTTCCTTTTACCAAATGGCCACGTAAGATAAATTTGCTTTAATATTTATTTTGACTTACTTCTATGTGTTTAACTTCAATTTAAATACCATTGATTTATTACTTACAGGTTGCTAAAGATGTTGTCGAATTTGTCGATGCTTATAGAGTTAACGAAGCTTGTCCAAGCTGTGTTGAAGTACCGAGTGTTCAAGAACGCGTTCCAGAATGTACTAAATTTTTCTCAAGCGAATCAAGTCTTTCTAAAGGATTCCCCTTGGTAAATCATGAACTCTACAGAGAAGCTTGTGATCAACTTGTCTCAGGATCTCCTGACAAATTGAAATCTGCTTGCGATGTTGCTGCTGCATATGTATTAGCACTTAAACCACACTATCCATTCACACTTGATGTTCCGGAGGAGTGCGGTAATAATTAAATCCCATTAAAACCTACAAATTTGAAAAAATTTATGATTAATTTACATTTAAATACTTTAATTTTTTGTAGTTAATTGTGTAATTAATGGCCAACCAACAAACTACGGACAAGATTTAACGGTACAATCACCACAAGGCAAAGCCGATGTAGTTATTGTATTTGAACAATCTGCATTTAACAATCAAGTATTTAAAGAATTGTTAACGCCATTAATGCCAGTTCTCAAACAAGATCTTGAACAAAAAGGATTAGGGTAAAGTTTATTATAAATACACGCGTTAATTTAAGAAAAGAAAAGAAATTTTAACTCATGAAAACAAATTTGCACGTTATAGAGACGTGAATTTCGCTTTGATTGGATACGGAGGCCCTGATCATGATTATCCAGTTCATTTTGGCAATAACGGAAAAGTTACATACGAAGGAAATGCTGATAAAATTAAATTTAAAACTGAAGAAGATCCTAAACCAAATTATGAAAAATGGGAAGATAAATTAAAATTTGTCATTAATTTTGTTAAAACTGAATTAGGTAAGAATTTAATAACAAGTTGTTATAAATGGCTAAACGGCGTTTAAAGACATTTAAAATTAGATTAAATTAAAATAAATTTTTAATAATACTCTTTTTTCTCTCATTTGTCCAACAGGACACGAACCAATTGTATCAGCCATGGAAGAAGCTAATATTTACCCATTCAGACAAGGAGCTGCTAAAATCATTCTTTTGGTGAACTCTCAAAGTTGTCCTCTCAGTCCAACATTCCCATTTTCAGTAAGTTAGAACGTTGTTACAAATGACAGGTATTTTGATTCACACAGCAGTTGTTTTACTTATTCATATTTTTTATTTCAGTTACAAGTACCTAGAACTTTGAGCATTAAAAAGTATTACAAAGATTTAGGATTGCAATTTCACTTGATAACTCCATTGTCAAAAACAATGACAGTAAGCAACAAACCTGAAGCTGAATTGAAGAATGTTGTCGGTTTTGATGCAGAAAAAGTGTACACTTTTGCTGATGCTAAAAAGAATGAACTTGAAGGAGATGCCAATGTTAGACCACATTTAGTTTACAACCATGATTTATGTGTTACATTCTCTCAATATGTAAGAAAACATGGATAACCTAAATAACCTAAAGTAAAAATGTTAATATAATACAATTACCATTTGTGTGTTTGCAGAATGGTGGAGCAGCTTTCAATTCCAACGTTTTTGCTCATGCCAAACCTGAGCAACAAAAGAAATTCATTCATGTGGTTTCCAAGAGAATTGCACAAGGAGCTGTGGCTCATCACTTTACTGAAAGTTGTTCATGTGCTTTGTATCACGGAGTGTTTTCATACCCTAAATGTAGAGTAGTCGGACACGCTTAAAATTACCTATTTTTGAAAGACAAAAAAATTTTTTTTTAAGTAAAGTTTTTATACTTTTTTTTTTTTTTTTTTTGTAAATTTATTTCAATATTCAATTACTTATATAACTTACGTAATGTTAATTCGGGGAAGAAATTCCTTTTTATATATATATATAATGTTTTTTATTAGATAAATTAAATTGAGACTGACGCCCAGTTATAAAAAATTTTAAAATGTCCAAATTTTTCTTTTAAATTTTATGATACAGTGAAATTATTCATTTATTTTAAAAATTTGGAGTTATTTTTATAAATATATATGCGTGTAATAAAAAAAAATTTGAACATTATTTAAAATTGAAGCGCTTCGAAAATTTACTTTTTTTTTTGTCAATGTAAAAAATGTGTAAAAAATTAATTTTTCAAAATATAATACTTTGTACCATTATTCTGGTTTCATTTTTTTTAAAATTAACTTTAAAGAACAAAAAAATTATTATTATTATTATTAAAAATACTTACATAACATTAATTAATCCTTACTCGGACAAAAAATACATAAATTTTAATCGGAAACCAAAAATGATTTTTGAAAAATTTCAACGGCTTTTTGAAAGAATTCTTTCGAATTTTCTATGACGCCAAAAAAAAAATTGTCGCGCTTTTGCTAAAACGAAAAAATTGTAAGTTTAGCAGAAGACAATATCGATTATTTACCTTTAGTATAAAGTATTATTTACAATATTCAAAATGTAATTCTTAATTCAATAAATTTTGAAAGAAAATTATTATTAGTTAATTAATTAATTTCAAAAAAAAAAAATGGAAGACGCTTATTCCAAAAACTCACACAGGGAAAGAATTTTGTGGGATTTAAAAAGCATAATTAAACAGGTGAGATAAAGAAAATAAAAAAAAAAGTGATTGTAATTTTTTTTTTTTTTTTTTCAAGTAAAATTTACAAAAAAAATTTTTTTTTATTATTAAAATTTTTAAAATAGATATATCACGAATCTGCAAAACACGAATTAAGCCCCGAAAATAGAACGTATATATGCCTGAAACTTGTTAAAAATTTAGATGAAACATTGTGTTATGGTTTAAAACAACTTTACTTAGGCTATTGGAAACCTATTTGTGAAGTCCTACATCCTCAAACACTTCAGGCTGTGGAACAGTTACCAGTGTCTAATCAGTCTGAAAGCAATAGTTTAATGAAAGGAAGAGCATGGATTGCTTTATCTTTGAAAGATGATTCATTCATTAATTATATTCAATGCTTTATAAATGAGGGTTGTTTAGACAGATTTTACGAAGACTGGAGTATACTTAGATTCAGTGATGCTTGTAATAGTTTCTTGTCAATACTGTCAGGATTAGAAAATGTTAAATTTAATTTTGATGTTGTAAGTTTTAACAAAAGTAATGCTGTTTTATTTAAAAATTTTTACTGGTGTAATTAATTTAGTAATTTTGTAGGACTATGTAAATAAACCATTGGCGAATTGCAATTTACAATTAAAATTGCCTGGAAATGAAGAGTGCAAATTTATACCGCTTAACTTAAAAGGATCAAAGGGTAGTATAGATTTAGGAACATCTAGTTCTTCTCTTACTTCACCTGTAGATTCAGGTGTTCATACCCAAGATTCATCATCTGATATGGAACCATTTTCAAATGATAAAGAATTTGAAATTGACTTGTTAAATGGAAATGTCCCTCCAGATACAGTATTAAGAAGGAAACATAAAAAAAATGCCAAAAGACATGTTTCCTTTCATGAAGATATTATAAATAAAAGTTCTGAGAAATGCAGAAAATTAAAATGGGATTCTGAGAATTTAAGGTATTCTTGGAGCGGGGAAGAAATCGATTCGAGTATTTTAAAAGAAAAACAATTTATAGAAATGAAACCGTATGATAATAATAACAGGAGCACTCCTCTGAAAGAACTTAATATGAATGAAAGAGGAACACCAGAAGGAGAAGAAACACCATCTGAAATAGAACGATTAAAAAACAAACAACCCCAGAAATCGGTTATTGTTAAAAGATTTCTATTGAGCATAAAAAATCAGTCAAAAGTTAAGCATCAGTGCAAAAGGTTTAATAATATAAATAACAGTTTAAAAAATTATAAAATTGATGAAAAATTGATAAATGAAGTTAATGTTGAAATAGAAAATGAGTTAAAACAAATGAGTAAAGTTCAAATATCGAAAAATGAAGTACAGTTAAATCCGTTGATGATAAAAGACATGATTAGAAATCAGTCTGTATATAAAGCATATAAATTAAGGGATTATTTATTTATTATAACAGACAGTAACATATATTTAATAAATAAAAATTTAGAAATGAAAAGAATAAATTTAAAAAATTATCTTAAAATAGTCGTGTATCCAGATTCACACGCTTTTTCAATATACGAATATGATAATGAATTACATACCTTTATAACCGGAGATGGAGAACTGACCAATGAAGTGCTTGGAAAACTTGAATTTTTAATAAGGCGAAACCAATTAGAATTTCCACAATTTTATTTTTTAGATTATAACGATTTTAAATTTGTTAAAAATAACTTCGTTGAAAAACTAGTCGTAGATAAAAAAGATGACATTTTATATTGCGGAGCCGTTCATTTGGATAAAGAAAATGACTTGACAAATTCCATATTACCAAATTCAAAACGCGGATTTTTAATGTACAGGTTTCTCCAAGGCGGTGACGGATGGATTCCAGGAGATTTTTGCTTGAGGTGATTTCTTTTTTTTTTGTTTATTTTCTTATTTCATAACGGCACACTTAACAACCTTACATTTTGTGTTTTAAAATTTTCAGAAATGGAGTTTTGTACCTTTTCGGTGACGACACAAATTTACCAAAATTAGCCATAAACATAGCTACCGGTTGTCAATCGTGCAACAGGACGAAAAATCCCGACAGACCTCACACGTTTCAAATCACATTGATCGATGGAAAATTCGAGAATTTTAACAGTCTAAGAGAGAATAACGTGACCAAACAAAAATCATCCAAATCCGAGTCTCGTAAAATATTTTCCGGCATTCGTCAAAGAGTAAATAAAATGTGGTCGTTTGGAAATTCAAAAAATTCATCTAGCATAATTGAATTTGCTGCTGCTAACGACTACGACCTCTCCGAATGGTTTCAAATGATAATACAAGCTTCATGCGGTGTAAATTTTTTTTTATTGAAAATAAAATAACAAATCCGTTTAAATTCAAATTAAAAATAAATTAATTACCTTTTTTCAATTCGAAGGATTCTTGCGAAGAAGCGCATAAGGAAAATCTATTGGAGGGAACATTATGGCTCACTCAGAATTCATTGATTATAACAAATGAAATATGGTGGCTTAATTCCGATCTCGATATCATTTCTTGTGCTCGACTAAGAGATGTAGCAGCATTTAAAATAGGAGAATGTGAAAAAGACTTTTTTACTGTGATAGTAAGTTTTATTAAAAGGTTCAATAACAATAAAAAACGGAAGTAATAATAATAATAATAATAATAATAATTTTGTTTTGTTTTAAAGGAATTCATTTGCATGGAAGCAAATAGTACATCCGGTGATTGGATTTTATATTTAAATTCGAGGGAAGAATTAAATAAATTGACGTCGAAATTGAAATTATTATGGAAAAGCAGAGAAAAATTCCCGTGTTACGAATTAGAAAAAGGAATATTATTAAATCGTTGTAAAAAATCACAGGAAACAATTTCTGATAATTATTGGAGCCTTCTTCTTTTACAGTAAAAAAAACACTCAGATCACATTCACATGGGTGGGAAAATGCTTTAAACTCCATGTTGGAAAATTCATTGAAAGCTTTTTCATGTTTTCTTTTTTTTTTTTTTTCTGTTGCAAAAGCTTGTTTACATTTTATTTTAAGTATTTTTTTTTTTTTTTTACAGAGTTTATTAACACTTCGACTGAATATTTTAAATATGTTTAAACATGCTTTGAAAATAATGTTTCATCGTTAAAAGATGTAGTTGTGTGTGTGTGCGTGTGCGCGTGTGTGGTTGTGATTACCATGAGAAAAAAACGCTTTACCTTTTAGTAATAATTATTTAATTTTTTTTTTTTTTTAATTTAACGTTCAAACCTTTGTTTAAACAACAAAAAAACTTTACATATATAAAAAAATGCTTATTTTATACGTAGTATATATATATAACGCAATATTATTATTATTATTATTATTATTATTTAAAGAAGAAAACTGATTTTTGTTTGTTTTATTTTGATTTTTTATAAAATTTTATTGTTTTATGTTTTTAAATTTTTTTTTGTATATAAAAGACTAATATATATATATGTATTTTTATAATTTACTATTAGAATTCTATGAATAATAATAATAATAATAATAAATTGTAAAAGGTTATTAACCTCGTTGAGGTTTAAACAAAAGGGGAAAAATTTGTTTTTCTTATGATGAATAATCGTTTATTTTATTTTATTTATTTATTTTTATTTTATTTATTGACAAAAATTGAGGGAAAACTAAATGATTCATAATATTCGCGTATTATTAAATATTTATAAATATAATAAAATAATTAATTAATCAATAATTATTTATTAATCATTTTATTTTATTAATTAATTAATTTTTAATACAAAAATTCGTACGAAGAAGAAAAAATTATTATTATTTATTTTTTTTTTTGTTTTTCGACGTAGTAGAAGCGCACAAATAATTTAATAAAAATGGAGAAATTTATTATTATTATTATTATTATTATTATTATTATTATTATTATTATTATTATTATTATTATTATTATTATGTAAATGTGAAATTTTTAATCTTTTGATTTCGTTTTAATAAAAAATAATTTTTTTTTTTTTAATTTTAATAAAAAAATGTGATAATTATTATATTTTAGATTATATATATATATGAACGATTTGTACCTTAATTAAGGTGATTGATAATAATAATAATAATATTAAAATCATTTTGTTTTCGTATTGATATCAAAGAATTAAAAATTTTTTTTATTAAAATGTTTTGATTTTTTTTTTTTTTTTTTAATAAATTATTATCAAGTCTTATTCATATAAATTTTATTATTATTATTATCATCATCATAATATTTGATTTGTAATGATGCGGTTGGTGCTTATGCGAAAAATAAATAAAATAAAAAAAAATTTGGAATTAAATTTATTATTATTATTAATATTATTTGATTTTTTTTTATTTTGTTTGTCTTATCAGTCTACCTTTCCCATTCAAAAATTATTATTATTATTACTATTAATATAATTATCCGGGAAAATTTTTTAAATTAATAATAATAATAATATTGATGATGTATTTAAAACCTCCCAACATCATTTTAACGATGGTATTAATTATTATTATTATTATTTGTGAGCGGTTCGTTTTGAATGAATAATAATAATAAAACATATATGAAAAATCACAATTTATTTATTATATTTATATTTATATATATTTATTTTTATTTATTTTTTAATTATTTTTTAAATTGCTAATGTGACAATGTGAAATTAATTTAAGCCATAAATTAAAATTCTTTTTTATTTATTTATTTATTTATTAGTCTTCAGATTTTATTTTAAAAAAATCTGAGGATTGATTGATTGATTTTCATTAAAAGATTTTGGTCTATAATTTGATGATATTTTCATACCTAAGAACCGTGACACACACACACACACACACACACCTTATCATTCCTTCCTTAATTATTCTCCTCATGGTGTAGAAAGTTAGGTTCAATTAAAATAAATACTAATTTTTTTTTTTTCCTTTTTTTGTCTCCTTTTTTTTTCCTTTTTTTTCCTTTGAAACCTGAATAAATTGACGGCAAATAAGAAAATTTATTTCTTGAATAATATTACTGATACTTAACAAAAACTCAAAAGGAACGAAAATAAATAGAAAAAAAAAAAAGAAAATTTCTAAGCCACAATAATAATAATAAAAATAATAATAATAATAATAAAAACATTATTTAACTTTCAACAAAAAAAAAAAAAAAAAAAAAAAAGAGGGGGAAAAAATTTTTTTTTTTTTTTAAGGTTTTTTTCTTTTTCTTCTTTTCTTTTTTTCCTTTTCCTTTTTTCCTACAAAATTTTTTTTCTTTTTCCCTTCCTTTTCCTTGATTTTTTTTTTTTGGATTTTTTTTTTAAAATTTTTAGGATTTTTTTTTGTTTTTTTTTGTTTTTTTTTTTTTGGAATTTTCATATTTAATCAATTATAACGTAAGGCAAAATGTGTAACAATTCTCCGTTGTAGGAAGTTTTCGAGACGCATTCTTGCCATTCCCGAAAATTATCATTATGACTTCCTTTACTATTAATAACATCTAAATTATTTGAATTTCTATCTAATTGTTCATTATTATTACCAACAGTCTCCATATTTGGTTTTAAATTTGGTTTCGGTTCTTTATCACCGTCATTTATATCCTCTATTGGAACTTTTAAACCGTGATTTAAATTTTCGACGAATGCTCCGTCGTTCCAGTTCCCGTTAACCCCTTCTATGTGTTGGCTGTGAAGGCAGTCGACGTCTCTCTCGGTAACTTTAACTTCACGGGTCTCATCCTCCCCGCTACTACAACTACTCGATTCCGAATCCGACCATAGTATTTCTTCCGGATTTATTAATGGTAATTTTGCTAATATTTCTTCGACCGTTTCTAATTTTTTTTCCTTTGGTGGGATGTCCTCTTCTCCTCCGTCGATTTTCTCCACGTCAATTATGTCCTCCTCAACGGGCTCTAATACTTCGAGAGATTTTGAAGATTCCGATGCGACTCCGGGAACTAGTATTAAATCAGACACTCGCGAATGGGGTCGCGAGTCGGGTTTAAAATTCGATTCCAAAATTTCCCCTTTGACGTCGTCGTCCCTACTCCTACTATTATGATCCTCGTTTTCCATCGATTTGTGACCGAAATCGTCTTCGGCCTCATTTTGGGATCTGAGAAACTTGTGAATGTGTTCCGTTTTCGACAGCGTCATATCGTAATCGCTAATTTCATTTTTGTTAAATAATTTATGGCTTGGACTCGTGTTCCTTGATTTTTCACCGTCGACTCCCAAACTCGACCAAGTCTTATTCCTTAAATTGTCTAAACTAGATTCTTTTTGTATACACTCCAATAACTCTCTTGTCGTTTTCACCTTCGGATTTCGAACGATGGAAGCCATTTTTTCTTTGACCACATCGTCCTCGTACCTATTGAATGATATATTTTTGGGTGCATTTTTTGAACCTTTCTTTCGACCCCGTTTCCTTGGAAAATCAGTTTGTTCACTAGGCACTTGACTCGGATCTTCACCCGTCTTATCCTCATTCAAATTAATTATTTCTGGCACTTTGCAGTCGTAAACACCATTTAGTTTTTGTTTTTTAGATATTCTATCTTCCTCTTCCTCCGATGACTTTCTTAAGCGCTTGTTTGCTGGACTGTTTTTAGGCACTAAATTACTATTTTGATTAGATTCCGAAGAAGTTATATATTTAAGTTTATTTTTATTCTTTGGAGGTCGACCCCGCCCTCTAGGAACTCCAGAAGGAGGACTCGACAAAGGAGGCCTGCCGCGTCCACGTTGCTCTATTTTTGAAGGATCCAAAGGAGGCCTTCCGCGCCCCCTGTGAACCTCTGAGTCAGAATGGTCCAAAGGCGGTCGTCCGCGAGGACGGGACGGACTCTTCAGTACATTCATTGTGGTCCGATTTAAAGGCGGTCGCCCTCGTCCCCGGGGAGGAGGAGATGAAGTTGACTGTTCTGGTGTCCTCGAGATACCAATGCCGGAACCAAAGTTCGCCGTGGCATGTTCACCACTTGAATGTGGTAACTGCAGTGATTGATTTGATTTGGAAGATGGAATTTGAGATCTAAATAAAAACAAAAAAAACCTTTTAATAAAAAAAATTTCAACACAAAAATTAAATGATTTTCTTGAAGGCACCATTCGAAACTTACTGGGGTGAAATATTCGGTGAAACTACATGACGTTGACTACCTGGAGACAATGATAATCTATTATCAGGTGACATGGAATTTATTCTAGAAGTCGGTGAAGACGGCTGGGATCGTTTCAGACTTAATGCCGGAGAAATTGGACACTAAAATTTCATAATAACCTTTACAATTTTTTTTTAAATAAAGTAAAGTTTTATGTTTATGAACGTTCAACGTACACTTCTATTCCATGAGCCTGGACTAAGGGATCGTCCAATTGCAGGACTTACGATTCGGCCAGTACCTATGGATGGCCGAGTACCATTTTGACTTCGTCCTGTTCCCCCATCAGCCCCCACAGAAGCATGAGGTGTTATCATGTCACGCCACTTACGAACCAGGTCTTTGGCTCTCTTAGCGACCTGTTCATTTGAAGTTTTTCGTCTAAGTTCGTTGACATATTTTCCAAGTCTAGTGGTCTAAAAAAAAAAAAAAAATTAGAAAATAATTATTATTCAGTCAACTATTTTTCTCCATTTATTACCACTAAATACATATTGTGTTAAATCATGCAACAAAGCTATTGATACCAATCATAACATTAACGTTTCAAATAATACATAAACTTATTTATTAACAACTTCAATTGAAAATAATAATAATAATAAAAACTTGGGCTCGAAATGAATTTTAGCAACAAGTGCCAAGTCTTGGAATGTACACAAAATATTTCACTTCATTTGTTGCTTTATTAAAATATTGATACAGGTGTTCAGTAATTTCAATAGTATTTTACTCTATCACATCACTAATTTTATTTTTTAAAATAGAAAAACCAAAGCGATTATTTAAGTTAAAAAAAAAAAACTGAAAAATCCCAAAATATAATTTTAATAAATTGATTTTTATTTTTAATAATTCAAATTAAACTCGCTCATAATTTTATAATTAATAGTTTTAAGAAAAAACTATTAATGTATTTTATTGAAACTACATGAAAACAAACGATTGATACTACAACAAAAAAGCATGGTTTCCCTTTTCGATTAATCGATTTTGTTCGAGAAAAAAAAAGCATTCAGTATTTTTTTATATACTGAAATCAAATTAATAAAACAAAAAATTTTCAATAGCTTTGTTAGTAAAATGTATTGTATACTTAATATAATGTTTTTTTTTTTTTTTTTGTAACTTACTTCCAAATCTTCCTTTGTGATTGGTGTTCTTTCCAAAAATGCCCAATGATTTCCACAACAACTGGGCATGTCCCACAACTTTAAATAAAAATAGGTCACTTAAATAATCTAATAATTTGTTTTACAAATTTATTTTTAAAAATTTTTGCAAATAGAATAATAAAAAAACAATTTGTATATTAAAACTAATATTTTATAGAAAATAAATAATTTAACGAGAAAAAATACATGAATTTTTATAAAATTTCGATGGATAATGAGGTGTCACCTCAAAAGTGATTTTCAAAATTTTTCTTTAAATTGTGTGCTTATTTATCTACTTTTAATAGAAAAAAAGTTACTTTTATCTAATATATACATTTATACAGAATATATATTGAAAATACAATCAA